GGTATTCAATATATTTATTTTCTCTTTCTCTCATTTCCAGTTCTAGGAGTGAAAGCTGAACACTTGCATTCCAACTGCTGCTAACAGAATAACTGATTCAACTATTTCCTCTCACAAATGTATTCACATAACTTCATGGAGTTCTAGCACTCTAAATGTTTTTGATATTTTCTTTTGATGATAACCAATCTGCTTTTATTTTAATGGTCTCATCTGGAAGCACCTAATACTTTTTTTCAGCTTATTTGAAGTACTTAAAGCATCGCCATGTATTGTCAATGTTCATTATGTGATACCACTTAACACTTATGACCCACCCTCCTGTCGACACAGTTGGTGATTAGCCACCATGTGGGTCCCACCTTCCCAGGCAAGGAGGAAGCCAAAAACCCCTTCACCTTCCAACTTTCCTCCAGCACAGGATGACGGTCCACCAATCAGATGTAATCTCAAGAGAATGAAATTCTGGAGTAAGCATAATGGGAGGCAGCTGCTCCCAAGAGAATCATCTCCTGAATGGGGCATACACTCTGCTTTATACGTATGGGCAATGTTGGCACAACTCCTGGATTATAAAAGCTACTGAGCCTTGAGAAGGCTGGTGGTTGTTTCTCTAGAGAACCCTAACCAATACAGGTATAATTCCCGGGTGATCTGTTTCTGCTTAAATTAGCCAGAGTGACTTCTTTAGCTTGCAGCCCAGAACTGGGACACACATATGAACACAATTTAGGATTGGATCTACTGCCATCGATTTTGCTTGCAAAATTATAAGAGGAGGGCCTTCATTCTATCTTAGAAATTTTCTTGCATTATTAAATGATAAATGTTTATCCATTAACATTTATCTGCTCTACCTTATTTAAAGATTACTATTTAAATTAATATATATCACAAATGAAACTATACTGATGTTATATGCAGCACTAATTATATTCACATATTTATATATTACTACAACTATATCACATACTATATATGCATATATACACATATATGCTAGGCATATATTATACATCCATATTATACTATATATACTTTACATAACTTATGCAATCGCATGAGCATATATATATATATACTACCTGTAATGTACAGAAATATATTTAGATGTTATTATATATAGTTAGGCTTATGAGTTTTGTATACTTCAACCTCTGTCAATCATAATTTTCTTATTATTTATTACTTTCCAATGAGCTTTTGGAAAATATCTATGGCTTTTATTTAAATGAATAGTCTATTAATTGTACATTCCCTTTCTTGCAGTTTTAACTTTAGAGATTCTACTAATCTGTTAGTTCTCTTTTCCAATGTTATAACGTTCCTCTTTGCAAGTACCTACTGTATTTCCAAAGTAAAGTAGGTTATGCTGTGCTAACACATTCTAAATATCACTGTGTTAAGACAAAAAAGGTTATTTCTCACCCATCTGACTCATGCAGTGAGGGAGGGAAAGGAGATTTGTCTCCTGGTTACAGAAAAAGCAAAGAGCACTCGGATAGCACTTCTCACAGTGACGCTGGTCACATTCACACATTCAGTGACTCAAATAAGATTAGTGCAAGTCTTTCTCCTCCTGCCTTTCTCTCCTTCCTTCCCCCTCCCTCCCTCCTTCCTGCCTTCTTTCTCTCTCTCTCTCTCTCTCTCTCTCTCTTTGTTTTTTGGAGACACAGTCTCACTATGCAGTTCAGACTGGCCTGAAACTCTCAGTGATCCTTCTGCCTCAGCCTCCCAAGTGCTGGGATTACAGGCTTGCTCTACCATCTCTGTGTTTCTTGATAGCCAGTCTGGACCCTCACTTCCTTCCTCATTTAAACCAGATGACTTTTACACAAAAATTTGAAATGAACACTCTTTTTCTTTGTTACTATATTTTTGTTGTTTCATTAGAAATTAGCCAAGGAAAGTTAAACTAGTATGGTGGAATCAAATATTAAATATAAGCTTTTCCTAAATTACTGATTTGGAGATTCCAGTAAGTCATTGATCCAGCTAACCAAGTCACAAATAGAAATTCACCTTTTTCCTCAGACCTAACTTATCATTTAACATTTTAATGACAAAAAGTTATCCTCCTAAAATCTATCAGCAGACTCCAAGGTTTGATGTCAGGAGTCATATCTAATTCAATTTAGAGCCAGGCATGGTGGCCCATGCCAGTACTTCCAGCACTCAGGGAGGCCGAGGCAGAAGGACTGCAAATTCACGCCTTGGCTAGACAATTTAGCAAGACCTTGTCTCAAAATAAAAAATAAAAAGTACTGGGCTCATAGTGCAGTGTGAATGCCCTGGATTCAAACCCCATTAACACTTTCCCTGAAAATTAATTTAGGACATCTGGCATTCCCTGGTAGTTGTAACAGTATCACTTTATATATAGTACTAAGTGAGCACAATCTTGACAGCTAACCATTCTGATAAAGCTACACTCAAGGAAAGACCAATAACTTTTCGTATCTTTTGTCACATAAAATGCTGAATGTCTTTCACTAATAAATAAAAAGACTGGTATTCAACCTGTATAGTAAGCACTGAAGAATACTTGGATTTGAGCAAGTTGGAAAATACAAAGTCTACATAAAATCATTCCTGGGAAATGTCACCAGGCAGAGCAGGATATCACCAGGGTGCTGTGCTCAGGCCTGCAGTCAGCACAAGGTAGTGGGTGACTAGAACTTAATGAGGAATGCAGACCTTAGAAGGTTAGAGAGAAGGTTCTGAAACATAAATCCCAAAGATTTCCACATCAACAATGTGTAACAAACACTTTTCTCTGTTTTCTAGCCCTATGGTAACTAAGGAAAAGTTCCAAGTGATATGTTTAACAAGGACGTTCTTTGTAATATTCTTATAATGGGTTTCAATGGGTAGATCTTGAATACCAGGCACCGACTTAATGTGTAGCAAATGACTTGCTGATGAAAATATTTATTATAAGATGAATGCATGTATAGAAACTTATGCTTTCTCGTCCCTATCAATGGTTTACTGTGACTGGAAGTACAGTGTTTTATTTATGAAGAACACAACAGCTTCTTCCCTGCCAGAACACCTAACTTGTCATGCAAATTGCAGTACTGAAAATTATCTTTGCACTGAAGGTTCTTGCGAATTGACTACAGTTCATAGTTTATATTTATAGATTTATAAATACACCCAATAGTCACTTTCTTCCTGATTTCTTTCTGCAGGGGCCATCTTTCTTGGGTTCATAATAAGACAAGTGCTTTAGGAATGTTAAGCATTAATGCAGAAGGAGAGTATACATCAGCAACTTCACAGTATATCCTCTCTCTCAACTAGGCTTTAGATTTCTTATTTAAAACGGGTAAAAAGCCAAGAAGGAGGCTGCTAAGATACACATCTAACAACAATCTCAAATGATAAATGCAAACTAACCTATAAAATCTGCTTTAAATATTGCTTCGTGGGGGCAGGGGTGGAGGGGCTCTGATTAAAGAAGGATAACATAAGGATAATTGTGATAATGGAACTAGATTGTAACTTGACAGTGGTGATAGAGACATAAACCTGCATGTGTGCCCAAAGTGTAGGGGACTAAACACACACACACACACACGCACACATACACAAGGGTATGAGTAAAACCCAGGAAACTCAATATAGCCAGTTAACTGAATCAATATCAATATGCTGGCTATGGGAATGTACTAGAATTTTATAAGATATTATCATTTGGGAAAATCGATACATGGTACAGAAGATTTCTCCAAATTATTTATTATGTTTACATTTGAGTCTACAATGATCTCAAAATAAAAGTGAAAAAAAATAGCTCCTCCACATTTCTCAAAGGCCTGTGCATGTATGTATGTGCGTATGCTGGGGATTGAACACACGGCCTGATTCATGCTACCGAAATGGTCTACTACGGAGCCTCTCCCCAGACCACAACTTTTCATCTTTCTCCCCTTGTGAGAGTAATACAATAATTGCAAATCTATCCTTAGGCGTCATGTAGAGAGACCACAGTGTGGATGCCACTTCATGAAGCACTTAGCTGTGCACTGAATGGAGTAAAATGCAAGCAAGAATACGGGAGAAGAAATGTACACATTGTTAACAGACAACGATGCCCTTCCTCTCCCCTCCCCTCCCCTCTCCTCCCTTCCCTTTCCCCTTTCTCTTCTCTTCTTTTTTTCCAGTCCTGAAGGCTGAACCCAGGCCCTTGCACATACACTGAGCCACTGAGTGACACACTCAGTTACGTATAACTCATTTCAGTTTTTTAAAACATCCTAAAACATCACTTATGCATGTACTTTCTCTTTACTTTCACAACAATAGACGCTTAGACTTTGGGGGGCGGTAATAGTCTCATAATTAGCCTTTGAGAAACCCTTCTGAAAGTAGAAGTGGTAATATTCCCAAAATACATTGTTTCAAATCACAGCAATAGTGCTGATTATAGGGATATTCAGAAACCTTAAGTACATTTGTATTTAATAATAATCCTTCCCACAGTTAGTTTCACACATTCAAGCGTATTTACATGCCACATTTAACAATAATTAATATAAAAACATAAATATTGAGAAGCACTTGAATAAATGACATAATTTGGAGGGGTTTTTTTGGTACCAGGAATTGAACTCAGGACCTTGTGCTTGCTAGGCAGGCACTGTGCCACTGAGCTATCTCCCGAGCCCTACATAATGTTTCGTTTTGGAGACATTTAGTTAGACACTTATTAGATACAATTTGGTAGTGTTCCTTTTATATTTTATGACTAGTAATTTCTAGAGAGAAGGGAAAGGGAGGGGGGGTTTAGGTAATATTCAGAGTCTTCAGGGCTCTCTGCCCTGCATGTGGTACACAAAGACTACAGTAAATAGAACAGTTTCAAGTACATGGTTACCCAGCATGATTAATAATACAAACATGGAATGAGACAGTATGATAGGGAGAGCAATATAATTAATTGCTTTAGAAGAATCAGGGTCTTGGTCTTTGAAGGTGCAGTAGCAAAAACTCACCTGAGCATGTGGGCAGCATTGAAGACGACATCAAACTCTGTACTGTCCAGTTCAGCTGCTTTTTTTGCCATCTCAGCCGCTTCTAAAAGGCGAGCTTCTTCCAGAAGAAACTGACCTGCAAAGTTTGAAAGCATGAGAAATTCAACCCAGAAAATGATAATTGCATGGAATGATAAAGCTGCATTTAGAGAAAAATAACTACAGCAGTAAAGGTGATTTGAAGTTAAGCTTTAATGTGATGCTTATTACTTAGTCATATTTTATATGCCTCTTAGTTGCAGGACACGGGAAGGATTCTATTTAGCACAAGTAAAAGTCTTTTTTTTTTTTTTTCTTATAAAGAAATCCGCTGTAGAATTTTGAAGGAAGAAATAAAATGAACACATTTAAAGTTACACTACAAATATCAGTTGAGTTTATTTTAACTGCTACTACTTTTGTGTCTTACACATGCATTTACTTCTTACATGTAAGTAATTCTAAAATTAAAGAATAAATTTAGTTATTCTTTAATAAGAAAGACAGTAATAGCAAACTCTGAATTAGAATTAGGAATAAAAATGGTATAAATATTAACAGTTTTGAGGCCACTCTCCTGTCAGCTTTGCAAGGACAGAATTATTGGAGACAGAGCTATATAGCTCTATAGAGAATATACTAAAAAGGTAAAGGAAACATGGAAGTTGGGTCCAATTAGAAGGCTGAAAATATGCAAAAACAGAAAATAGGTTACTCTTTTATAGGTGAGGATTCACTAAGAGCAAAAGTAATGGTATGTGGCTTGATCAGATAATATATATTCAAATAAAAATCAAATCAAAGGGTGATGGAGGTCTAATGAAGCCAACTAAGCACCTTCCAGCTCTGTGGAGTCGGAGACTAATTATCATCTCTTTTTGTTTGGGGTTTCTTGTTTGCTGAAAGTTCAAGACTAGTTAGCACTGCAAAAATAGTTATAAGAATGCTTTGCAAGTCATGAGGTGAACACAGACATAGAAGTGGCTGTTAAAACAACTCATTATTTATCTAATAGCTACTACAAATTGTACGTAACCCCCAAGACATCTTTTCTTCAAATGAAAGGGGAAATATACATTTTAAGGTTTATAATAAGCAATAGGTACTGCTTGTTTAAATATTTCTAAACTGCTAAAAATGGTGAGTAAACATAAACCTAGGATTACGAAGCCTACTATTTTAATGCAAACTAAAAAGGATCACATCACTGTCTTGCATTTTATGCCTTGCTCATTCTCAAAACAAGTGAAATTCTATGATCAGAAAATTATTAAGAACATATAATTGTAAATACATATTTAAAATATAAAATCACATTACTTTGAAATTCCTGTATATGGTAACTCTCTGGACATACATAGGGAATGAAATTAAAGTATATACTTGTGTTTTAAAAAGGTAAAAGTAGAAGTCTGGCGCACAATGAAAAATTACAGTCCATTTATATATATATCTTAATAAATGATACAGACTAAACTTATTTTTCAGTTATTTATGGGTGGTAGAGATTATTTTTAAATTTGAATATAATATTGCTATCTGTCTTCAAACACAATATGTAACTAAGTAAATGTATTAAGAAACATGTTAGTTATTTATGTGCTATTTAAACAAAGGGCAATGTAGGAAATTATTTTTTTTTTTCCACGTAGCTATTAACTCTGAATTATAGTGTTCATTAAGAGTTAGAAAATGCAACAATTAATTGCATAATGAAGGTTATTTTATTAAAATGCATTATTCCAGTCTGGAGAAGGAAAAGGAAATATATTGACTCTGGTTAAAAAAAATAAAAGAAGGAAGGACATGACATCTATTGCGTTCACAAAAGGAGCTAGAGGGCACAGACAGACCATCTGTATGGTGACGATAATGACACCTGGTAACACAAGTCAAGCAATATCCAGGGAAAAGCCTTTCAAACGTAGTCAGTGCTAAACTCATCTTTAATGTCCAACAACACAAAGGGAACTGACACTTACTATTGATACAAGTGTAGTATAAAATTAAATCATCAATCCCAACTTAAAAATATTTTTAAGTTAAAATTAGCTGTGCCACACAATATGCTCCTTTTTAAAACTGCTTACAAAGTCTGAAAAACACCCAAAATGAGTAATTTTTAGTACTATAAATGGTTTACAATGAAAACTCCCATGTGGACATTTTATAGCAGAATTCATTTATAATGTTACTATTAAAATAATTCTACAACATAATAGTCACTTATGTATTTGCACAAGTAGTCACTCTTTGCTCAGTAGGCCATATTATCTGAATAGTCTGGTATTGGCGCTCCACTATAATAAATAAACACAATATTATTAAATGTGAATCTTTTTTTACCTGAACTTTACTACCTGAACCAATACTGAAAGTAACCTATTATCCTATTATGTTGTATAATAACCTCTCTTTTATAATATAGCCCAGAACTGGTGGAAAGTAGATTACTAAACATTGCAAATACACAGAGCCAACATAAATAGGGAAGCAAAGATACACTAGCTTTCCCCCTAATAATGACACCAAGAACCCCAATTGATATATTATTGGAGGAATGTTACAGTTTGGACCAAAAATGTCTTCCAAAACGGTCAAGTGTTCAGAGGTGGGAATTTTAGAAGGTGACTAGATCACTAGGGTGCTAACCTCATCAACAGATTAATCCATTGACAAATTCATAGCAAAATGTGCTGTAAGGAGGAGGCGACCTTGTTGGAGGAAGGTCCCTAGAGTAATGGCTCTGACAGTATACATGTTTCCTCAAGCTATTTTCTTTTTCTGTGTTCACTGCCATGAGGCAAGCAGCTTTCTTCTGCCATGCCCCTCTGCCATAATCTGTCTACCGTGGAGTCAGCTAACCATGGACTGGAATGAAACCGTGAGCCAAAATAAATCCTGTTCCCTTGAATGTGTCAGGTATTTTGTCCTAGTGAGGAAAGACTTACTAACACAGGGAATAACAATAGAGAAAACCTGCCCTTACACCATCTAGAAGATTTTACTTCAAAGTACTAGTCTGTTGCCAGCTTTACTATTACTGCTTCCACCAGACACTAGCTTCTGAGAATTACTTACACTTCCTACCACATACCTTCACTTGTATGAGATACTTAGCCTCTAACATTTCTTGGGCTCTAAGGATGTCACACCCCAGTCTCTAGTTCTGTTTTGCCTACTTATTATAGTTCATTTCTATGCTCTAAACATTTTCTTCAGGTGACGATTTCTCAGACCAGTGTCTAACAGTTTAGAATTACTTATGATTTAGTTTCACTGTAATATAATTTATCATGTAAACCAGAGCACTTAAAACAGCAAAAGGGAATATTGTGATTTATGCTGGAAGAAGGATGTAAAGTAGAAATGTCTTATGTGGCTGCACTACATAGAGCAGACGTAGAACTCCGAATGTGGACTTCAGTCCCACCTTCACCACACATGGGAAATGGGTCTGTCTGCACAATAAGCCAAGAAATTGCTGTTAGCAGGAACACTGCCTCACAGAAGAATCACTCCCCACCAAGATGAGACAGATCCTGGGGTTTGTGAGTAGAAAGGGCTAATGCTGTTCAGAGAGTGAGCATACTGTGAGATGGACCCAAACTCTCAACAGTTGGTCATAGAGACTCCCTCCACATGCCTGATTGTGCAACTCCTGAAAGGTTACTTTTTATCATAATCCCCTGGAGGATTTGATAGTACAGGGAACAAGCCCCCCCGCCCCCACCCTCCGCAAATTTTAGCAGCAGAGAACAGAGCTCAGTGGAGCCTGGAATTTGTATTTTGGACAAATTCTAAAGTGACACCAATGCTTCTTTTTTTTTTTTTTTTTTTTTTTTTTTTTTTTTTTTGGTTTTTCTCCGGCACCGGGAACCGAACTCACAACCTTGCGCTTGCCAGGCAGGCGCTTTTTGCCGCTGAGCTAAATCCCCAGCCCCTGACACCAATGCTTCTATTCCATGTCTACACTTAAAGAATCAATATCTTAACTAAAACAACCAAATAAATGTTTTCACTGTACTCTGGACTCTAATTATACATGACAGTAGCTCCCAGCAAGACTGAGCTTTTCTGGTATCTTCTAGTATCTGGCAGGCCCTTTCCTAAATTCTGGGGCATAATGTCTAGGTATGTGAGTTACATGACAAGTACATGAATGACATGCTATTAAACGTAAGTTTAGACAACCAAAACTCTTAAGGAGAATTAAGAGTTTTATCCTTCACACGCAAAAACAGATTTCTGAGCAATCACTTTTTTTTTTCACGAAGAGTAGACAAACATGCTTTGTGTTTGATAATTGAATAGAATTGCAAATAAAGAAAATCTTAGGTAAAATATGTTTTTGTTCTCCTGCATGTGTTGTTGCTACCACACTTTCTTTTGGTTTGTAATTTGCCTTAGCCAAGTTAATTATCATCATCTTACTTCATTGTCTCAAATCAAAGAGAAGAAAAAAAGGAAATGAAAAAAAACAAGTTGAGGAATTATAAAGAAAAAAGTCACATGAACAGGGGAAAAACAGAAGATGATTAAAAAAGAGGAACCATTCTCCACAGATCCAGAGATAAAGAGTGTAACTCTCCCCACAGAGAAAATTTCTATGCTCTAAACAGAAGACAAAGAAGAAAGAAAGAGCAATTACTGCTCTGGATTCAACTGTTTCAGCACCAGAGTTACATACTTTTTTCTCTGGATATTTCTCTTCCTCACTTACCCATCCTGTTTATTAGATTCTTTTAACAATATTTCAATATGACAGGATTGTGAGATCAATCCTTCATTAATTCCTGGATTTAAAAAGTTCTGTCTATGAGGTAAAAATCCATATAAATCGAAGCCAGTCTTAAGCTCTAGGCTCAACTACTGCTTTGTAAAATGTCTACATATAAATCCTCTAGATTAATTGTGACTAGAAAAAGCATCTAGCACCTCCTGCCAAAAATACTAGGAAAAATTCACTCTTAATATCAAAGTAACTAAATTAAAGATCTGAAACAATGCGTAATACATGTCATGATGATACAAACATCTTTTTAAGAACAATGATTCACATACAGCTTTAAAAATGTTCAAAGGCAACACAATTCT